ATATGAAGTAAGAATAACAACTGATACAAATTAAATCTTGTGCGCTATCCTTGAAGCTGCGTAAGTATAGAAAAAGGAGTCTGAGTACAAATTAATGGTGTTAAGACTTAAGAGCTATAGCGCTAATACAGCCATTTTATTTTTGTAAAGATATGCGATTGTACCATGTAACTGTGCGATTGCGTGATGATTCACATCTACACATCATGAAATTGAAAAGGGACACGTGTCCAAAAAAAAGAAAAAAAAAGTATAATTTCATGATTGTTATGAAGTGAAGCAGTCAATACTTCAAAATGGTAATGCTTGTTTGTTTTCCCGAGATTACTCTTTGAATCGCTCCTGTACTGACCATGTGGCCACACCTCCACAACAGGATTAATTTACTTCACTTCTAGTGGTGAATGAAAATGTGGCTTTTTGATAGGGAAGCAGAGGAGCTTCACTGTAACTTGTAAGTTGTAACAAAATAGTAGCAGGTTAGAACAATTATCACCTTCCAGAACTTAGCCAAACTTGAGTTGCCCCACCGCCATTGTAACGGTAACGGTAAATGTATTCTGCTTCTTGTTTTTTTAGTTCTTGTTCTGTTAGTCCACCAATTGTACCATACATTAAACTATCAAGATTAACTTCTTTGTTTCGAGGATCCATTCTAACCTGCCAAGGAAAATATGTACCATGTTAGTTACAAATCTCAAAAGAATAAGAAAGGAAGATGAAGATTAAGAGCACTAGTTTTCTCCTTAGTAAAGTAAGGATTGTGGAGCTTGGATCAAAATCTTGTAAGATTCAGCTCTGGATATTTCCCAGATGTTACAGAAAGTAAGGAAGCTGAAAGGACTATCTAAATGTCCTTTGAGGAGAACAAATTAGTTTCAATGGGGGAAATTACATAGACTTTAATCTGTAAAAGGTGAGAGTTTCGCCTCTTATTAAGGATACATTTTCCCGCTAGTGGATTTTTTATTACAAATATCCAAGAACAGTTGTTATTATGTATATTTCAATAAGTTTATCAACTTCTCATGTACTGTTTCCTATAAATTACAGGACGATGAAACAAGATATTGCATCTTGACTCCTATATAGCCATGAAGGACTGCACTTTCTATAATCTAAAATTTGCATGCAGGCATCAGAGCACAAAGTACAAACAGGAAGCAGACAATACAATCAAGAGGGGGGTGGTACAGGGTTTCACCTTATCAAAATTAACAACAAATATTGCAACAGGAACAGGCCTATCCATCTCGTTTGCAGGATAACCAGGCTCCGTGTCAAAAATGAATGAGTATAGCCTCTGAAATATCGATTCCACTGCAGTCGCTTCTACTTCAAATAGAGGCAATTCCCTGCCATATTCACTCTGTGAGGGACAAAATAGTTAGAGAGTGTATTGTGACAATTATGAACAACTGTTAATGATCACTGTATAGGAAAATAATATATTCCTGCTTACATCTCTTGCAGTTCCTGCAGGTTGCATGGCCTCCTTCAGTGACTTCTCAAGAGAAATCAGCTCCGGTTGTCCAGCCTAAAAATCGCACTGGGTGACAATAGGATAACACAGTTGTGAAAAGCAATTCATTATTATCTGAAATGAGGAATTACCGTTATAACATTGTACATAATATGATGCTCGATATCAATTGGCTCCCCTGTCTCGAAGCAAGAGGGCCTGTGAAGTGGGAAACCCACTTTTAGGAATTCTTCGAGCTTGTGCCCATCCAAAGAGTATCTATACCCTCCATCGCCATTGAAACCAATAAGAACAACATTAACCTCAAGAGGCACTTGAAATGGAACCTGAAGAACATTCCTGGTGAGTTAAATAAACATGGAAAACCTATAAAAAGAAAAGCAATGACATACATGTTTCAGATAAAAAAGGAAGGACAATACTTAACGATTGTTGTCTAGATTACACTAAGTTTGATGACCTTTTTTGTTATATAAAGCACTAGCTTAACTGTAACAACTTCTTGATTACACCATAACACTTCGGGTGAGCAACGTAATCCGCCATCCTCAATTCCAGCCAGGATTTGTACAGTCATATCATGTAATTATACTTGTACACGTGACAAAAATCTGAATAAATTGGCACGACACACTTCATAACAAAGCTGTCAATCTCACCGAGGAGAGATGAAATCCAAAGGGCAGATCCCACATAGGGAGCAGAGTCATGAGGGACTATGCTCCGACTCAGCTCGAATCTAGTCGAACTGGGCTCCTATTCGCGGATCGCACTGGTACACGTGAGCCATGGATGCGCCGGCGGAGAGGTTTAGTGTGGAAGACGAGGAAGCGGAGAAGAGATGGGAGTACCTCTGCTCGGGTGTGGAGCATGCGGCGGACGTCAGCGCGGACGCTGCCCTCGACGTCATGGAAAGCGCCATGGTGCCAGTGCGGGTGCCCTGGGTCCCGGCGGAAAGCCTCCCGCCGGGCGGCCGACGACACGACCGCGGCGGCCGTGAGGACGAGGAAGAGGAGGAAGATGGGAGGCCCCATCGAAGGCTGCCCGGAGAAACCCTAGGCTAGGAATTCTGGAAGCTTCGCCGCCGCAGTATACTGGAGGCAGCAGTGCAGGGGAGCGGGGCAGCGGGCGCGCGGCGGCACCACGGTCCACGGCGAGCACGTTGTCTCGCCCTGACGCCCTTGGCGTGGCCGTTGCTTTGTGATTGGTGATGTTTGACTGTGGAGTTGAGCAACTCCAATCGACTCTGTATATATTTCTTGAGCGATAGAGGTTTTGGTGAAAAAATATTTTCTAAGAGCACGTTCTAAATTTCTCGCTGATCAAAAATACAAAGTGAAAATCACTCTCCATAGGGCACACAGGATGTAAAAAAAAATTATTGGAGGGTATAGAGATAGAAAGCGATTTTTACTTAAATGATGATTTAAACAGTAGATTTTTTAAAGACTCTTGAAGATGCTCTAAGTCAGTTTTGACCTTTTTAATTTTCTTTCCCTTGATTTGATCTATGGGATACTCAAAAAACAATTTCTTGCTTCAAGAATCTTAATTAAATAGAAATGGAGAAGTTGGGTTACAAAATAAAATTCCAAGAAATAGACACCCTATACCAGATAGATGTTCTTTAGGAGAGACAAAACGGTTTTCAAAAAATTGGATCACTAATTACTTGCCTTCCAGCATGTCTATTATTAGTGTTGATCCATTGTCACAAATATCTCGACTAACCTAATATCCTAGACAGAACATAAGGTTGAGTGTAGGGTGTGCAAGTTGTTGTCCTTATGGTTTCCACATATCCTCTTTAATTTAATTATTAGTAATATTTTTCTAAAATACGGTCACTCAATTGACCATTTTTAGTTAATTATTAGCACTAGCTTTCTAATCTGTGACCGTATTTTAAAACAATAGTACTAATAATTAAATTATAGATGGTCGTTGGAGACTCTTAGAGACACCAATTCACATAGCTAGTTGATCGGTTCGACATCCTTTTGTGAGTCTATTGTTTATGACATATGTAGTGAAATATAGTTGCTGTACTATTGAATTTTGGGTTGGAGAAAATAGGGTACCCATTACATGGGTAATAAGACTATCTCCAACGAGCAATACCTAAATCAACGACCCATTCCCATATTTGGGTTCTACACAGTAAATAGGTCACTGACCCATCCCCTCCCTTCTCCAACAGCCCACCTCCCTCCCATGACCGATCCGATCCAAAGACATTCCTCTTTCTCTCCCTCCCGACGCCTGACGTCCTCCCCTGAGCTCATCACGCCCACCACGCCCCACCACGCCCACCACCGCGTCCTCCTCACCCTCCCATTGGCGCCATGGACAATGGAGGGCCCTGCCCTGGATGGCCCGACCAAGACGACCCATATGGCGGCGTTAGCGGACGGCCCTAGTGCGGGCAACCCATATCCATGTGCGGCCCCGGACGATGTAGGCCCTCCTCCTCCTCCTCCTCCCGGATCTAGGGTTCCGGCGAAGTTGCTGCGCGTCGGCGGGCTCCCCCCGCACTGCCGCCCTCCCCCCCCCGAGATCATTGAGCGCCGCCTCCTCCCCCCTTGGGCCTCCCTGGCGCGAAGATTTTTGCGTCTTGGAGAAAGACGACGCAAATAAGCGTCTCGGGTGGCCTCGTCCCCAAAATGCATGATGTGTTTGCGTCCTCCGTTGGAACCGGTTTTCAGCAGCTAAAAACACTGTGTGTAACCTATTTTAGGTTTGCGTCGCCGTTTGCATAAGGCGTTGGAGACAGTCTAAGGCATTGGAACATGTTGATCTGGACCAGTTGCTGTTAAGGACATCGCCCTATCGCAGATCTAGTGATAGGAGCTTTGCTAGTGCATCTCTACAGATACGGTCAACGTTGAGCTTGTTGCTTGACGTGTTCAGGGCTTCAGGCATGAGCCTTTTGAATCTTATATATTCCAATCTAATGTTCAGTTGGAAAAATGATCCACTGTAGTGACACAGATTCAAAGTTGCAATCCGTTTAGGGGTTGTCTGCTTCTCTGGAACTTTGCCAAGAATATACATTAGCAGCCGCACTTGTTCTGTGTCACCTGTCGCGGCTTTCTTAGCGTTCGTCTTGCCAAGATTTCCCACATATTTATCCTTACGAAGATTTCCAAATTTTACAACAATATGTTCTACGTAAGATGCAAGAGTACACCTCAACAATACCAGCCAACTTACTACACCATTTTCCATTAAACCACTTGCGGAACATGGGAGACAGGGAAGATACAAAATATCCCAGCACCTGATCGGTTTTAGCATCAGAAAAGAGAAAGCAACACAGGTTGGCAGCTAACTACAACACGTGTTTGCAAGATCGTGAGCACTGATCAGTTAACTTATGTATAAGTATGTCTCTTTCCATAATATGAGAAGACGGTATCTGTATATTGCCACACCGGCATCTTTATTTTTCAGACTACTGAACACGCTTTCAGCAGCTGTACATCGTACATGGACCACAGAAAATGTCATCAGCAGCCTACAGCTTTGATGGTGTTTTAGAACTCCTGCCCTGGATGAATTTCTGCATATTCGCGAATTGCTCCTTTGTCATTCCATTGTAATAGTTGTGACCTCTTTCCTGAAATTGGAACAGTAAAGATATGAGCTTATGCATTTTCTGAATATAGTCTCGTCAATGAAATAGACACGATGTAGGAAATCTGTACTAATTTCTATTGATAATACCAATACAATGCCATAGACCACACCTGGCTTTCAGGATCAACCAACAACTAGTAAAAACAAATATTCAGCTCGAATTTTTGCCCAGTATCACCAAAAGAGAATTGAAGTGTCCGTTGTTAAGGTCCCTGGGGATGTTTGATGAACATTTCCTACGGAGCACCCATAGTTTTCCAATGATATATACGCATTTGTAGTTAAACTACCACACAAGATCAGCTAAAATAGATAAAGAGCGTACCCAGTGCAGAGAGCTCCCGCTCTGTGCGGGGTCTGGGGAAGGGTGTTAGTGGCAAGCCTTACCCTCGCTTGTGCAATGCGAGGAGACCGCGACTCGAACCCAGGACCTTCCGGTCACGAGCGGTAAGACTCTACCGCTTGCACCAGGCCCGCCCTTCTCAGCTAAAATAGATAATTTTATTAAAAAAACGTTAACATGCAAGTAAAATGTACCAGAAAATGTACAGGCACGAACCTTCTCAAGTGCTTGAGCATGTTCCAAATCCAGCTTAAACCCATCATTTATAACCGATTTGTATAATACAACTAATTTGCGGTTGTTCCTCGCAATAGCCTCGGCAACCTCTATTGCCTTACTCAGCACCTCATTGTCATCCACGACGTGGTTAACAAGCCCCCACCTCTCTGCCATTTCAGCAGTAACAGGCATGCAAGTTAGTGACACTTCCCTTGCTCTGTTCGGCCCAATGATGCGAGAAAGCTTCTGTGAAAGACCCCAAGAAGGAAATATCCCAAACCTACATCACAAGACCAGATATTAATTAGAGCACAACAGTGACGTGAACAGGTTGGCATAAATAAATTGGAGTGGAAAGGTACTGAGTAATGATCTGGAGAACAAGCGCAGTGCGCAGTGTTTCAGTGCTCTGGCCAAAGCTGAAAAGCGCAATACTACAGCTTCTGTGGAACTATGTTCAGGCAATCTTGTGTTCTACTACAAAATTACCAAACAAAAACACCGAAAGCTCTAGTTTTCCAACCAAGCTTCCGTGTATCCCAAAGTTCCAAACACCGAATTTTTTCGCTACCGCCTAGCTGAAAACTAATAATTGAGTAAACTAACAAAGAGTGCCTCTAATTGTCATCCTAGTCGCGAGAGCAGCTAAGTTATAACACTTTACTGATTCGAGCATATCGTGATCTGTATGAAGTGGAGGACGATAGACGTACTTGGCGTGGGTGTCCAGGAACTTGGCGGAGCGTCCGGCGACGAGGATGTCGCAAGCTAGGGCGATCTCGAACCCGGCGGTGACGGCGAACCCGGCGATGGCGCCGACGATGGGCTTCCGGCAGAGCTCCATCTGCGCGACGGGGTCAGTGGCGACGTCCTTCACGTCGCCCTTGAACACCTCCTCCGCCGCCGTCAGGTCCACCCCGGAGCAGAACGCGCGACCGCGGCCCGCAAGCACCACCGCTGCCACGGCGTCGTCGGCGCCCAGCCGCCGGAACGCAGCCGCCAGGGAGATCATCATGGGCTTCGTCAGCGCGTTGAGCGCCGCCGGCCGGTTGATGGTCACCACGGTAACCGGAGATCCCGGCCTCGCCGGCTCCACCTCAATAAGGTCGCCGGAGTCCGGTGATGCGGCGACCATTCGGTCTGATTGGGTTTGGGTTAGCGTCTCGGGTTGGTGTACCGGAGTTCGGGGGTACGGGTACCTTGTGGGCCTGTGCCTCTATGCTCCTGCTAGCGGCCACTTTTGACTTGCCTTCTCGCCAGGAATGGATCACACTACGCATGGATCCCACATGGGACAACACTACTCGTACCATCCAAATCATGGCTTTCATGTTTTGTGAATTTTATTCGTTTATATATACATTATATTATTATTAATATATTATATAACTGACGAATAAATTATTATTAGCAAATGTGTCCGTACGCTACAACCGAACTTATATCCTACGTTATATGTTTTAATATGTTTTAAAATCAGACTCTATAATACGGTTAGACATACGCTATTATAACTCGTATAAGCATGGGTCACGAGGAGTTTACGTTACGAACAAGACAATAAGACAATAGATCGATTAAACAACTCAAGTATCTAATTCATCATGGTCGTCGGTTCACGTGTTGCACCGAGACAAGATTAAAAATATGGTAAGATTAAGAATTTTTGCACACAAGTGTGATGCATGCGGTTGGCTGGCTCAGATGGTGCAGACATAGCAGTCACCGGAGAGAGGGATATTTAACTTTTTGCTCTTTGGATGGCACTCCTTCAAAACTCATTGTTACACCTACATTGTTGCCACCATTGAGATAAGCTTTGTTCGGTTTTTTACTAATTTTTACCGATGTGACAAACCATATGTGCCTACTATGGTAGAAACGCCATGCGAAAAGACCTAGATGCCAATGTAAATGGTCTAGGTATGGATTGGTTTGAAAAAAAATCCAACTACCACGAGGTTATACATAAAGATTAATGATAACAATTGTTGACTAATGACTTGACGTGAGATTGAAGGTTAGCACTAATCCACAAAAGGTCCCTTGGAGCTACACGAAGACCATGGTGGAGATATTGAGGACCATGTGATGCAAAGGCTCAACAATATGGAAATATGAGAAACAAAGGATGTTAGAAGTGGAGAAGATGAAAGACAAGTGCAAGACAAAAGGTATGATACAGAGCTTCGTCTTTCACCAACCATGTGTTGATCAAAGAAGTGCAAATGGCCGAGTTGATAGGTTAGATAGTCGTACTATAAATAGCAGAAAATCATGTTGCTAATGCGATTATCTAGTTCCACTTGAATAGAGGCTACAGTGAGTGTTTAACAGCTAGTTTATTGCGTGGGGTATAAATGAAGGCTTTGAACGGGCTTAGCCAGTTAGCCACTCTCTTGAACCCCCTTCGGATATCGGAATTAAATTGTATGGACCCTGGGTCCATTCACTCTCCAATGCACCCCTCACGGATGGATGACACGTGGCACATTTCTATAGCGTCTACAGGTCAGTATTTTTTATGAGAATTACAGGTCAGTAAATGAGCAGCCCCCAAATCCGTCTCCTTCCTCCTCCTAAATCCGGCCCATCTTAATCGCCAAAAAAAAAAGATCCAGCCCATCTCTCCACCTCCGTCTGGCTCTGCCGCGCTCGACGGCGACGCACGAGCACCGCGCCGCGCCTCCTCCGGGCTCCGCCCCGCTCAGCTATCGCGACGTCCCCGGCGGCGATACCGTGCTTCACCTCGCGCTCCGTCTCAGGCTGCCCTCCCTGGCATCCTCCGCGCGCAGCATCTCGCCACCTGGGCTAAGCTCCGGCGTCGGGCGCCCGCCCTATCCGGCGCGCTGCCCCCGAGTTGGCCACGCGCGGTTGCCATCACAGCCCATCCGCAACGAGCAAAAGAGGGGCGGGCGACGGGACAGCTAGCGGCGATTGCGGGTGCCTCAGGAGTCAGGAATACCTTGCTGTGCAGTCGTGTATTCGTGCCCACCTTCTAAACCCATGAACCCCTTGTGCAGGCCGCAGCCTATTCCACTACCGACGCCGAACGGCCGAAGGCCGTACGCCCCCAAACGAATCGACCGCATCGATGCTGTCGATCACCGGAGGTCGGCGCGGGGGCCTCTTCTCGGTGCACCGGGGCGCGCTCTGGTGGCTCCGCCGTTGCCACATCCCGCTCTTCTCGTCACTAGCCGGCGGCGGAGCCCGGGGCGACGCGCCGCATCTGCCCGTACTCATCGTCGGAGCTGGTCCCGTTGGGCTCGTCCTCTCCTTCCTCCTCACCAAATTCGGTAAGAACCTCGTGCCACTTGCTCATCGATGTTCCCAATTAGCGCTTCTGATGTAGGCGAGCTGAGCGAAAGTTCATGGGACAAATGTGATAAACCAAGTCTCCTCTCAAGTGTCGTGTGCTAATTGGATTCGACGAGCTCAGTGACTTCGACTTTGGTAGAAGTCACGGAAATTCTTGTGAATAACGAGCAACCATTGATGCAGTTGTTTTATTCAAATCTTGTAGGGATCAAATGCGCGGTGATAGAGAAGAATGTGGAGTTTACTAGGCACCCACGAGCGCACTTCATCAACAACCGCACAATGGAGGTGTGTACTCTAACTTCGCCATTTTGACTAGTGTGTGTTGCTTGGGCGGTGCTTTCACGGATGACTGGCATTTTCAGATCTTCCGCAAGTTGGATGGTTTAGCCGGGGACATTGAGAGGTCCCAGCCACCAGTAGATTTGTGGAGGAAGTTCGTCTACTGTACTTCACTCTCCGGTTCCGTCCTTGGATCGGTTGATCACATGAAACAGGAAGGCCAGTTCAGTTCTTCTCATGTCGAGTGCTTGATGTCTTGCACCTCGCCGTGTATGTCTTCTGACAAGTATTTTTGGCAGATTTTGACAAGGTCATTAGTCCTATATCCGTTGCACATTTCTCGCAGTACAAGTTAGTCGAGTTGCTACTCAAGAAGCTTGAAGGAATTGGTTTCCGGACATGCTTTCCTGGTGATATTGGTAACTCAACGCAAGATCTGGTACTGGAAAGCAAGATACTGATGGGACACGAGTGCACATCCCTTCAGCAGACTGATGAGGGCATTCTGGTTGGAGTGTCAGCTAACAATGTGGGGAGGATAATAGAGAGAAAGCTACACTGTGGTCTTCTTCTAGGGACAGATGGCGCAAGAAGTACAGTGCGTGAATTGGCAGGTATATCTATGGAAGGTGAAAGGGACTTGCAGAAACTGGTCAGTGTGCATTTTCTTAGCAGAGATCTAGGCAGGTATTTGTCCAGTCAGAGGCCAGGGATGCTGTTCTTCATTTTTAATCCAGGCGCAATTGGTGTACTAGTTGCACATGACCTGGAGAATGGGGAATTTGTATTGCAGGTACTCCAACCTTTACGATGTTAGATAGATTTAACTTTTAAGATGTTCGAAAATTGTATATTTCTCATGTGTATTAATATTACTTTTATTATTTTCAGGTTCCATTTTATCCTCCTCAGCAGATGTTTGAAGATTTCAGCGCTAAGGTGGATCTCATTCTAACATCTTTCTTGCTTCTAGTTTATAAGCTACTAAAATTCTATGTTCTGCATCCAACTGTGTTTCAGCATTTGTTTATGAAATTCTTGTACTGTACTGTTCTTCTAACAATTTATTCCTAAATTTGAATCTGGTATGCATGGGTGAATTGACAGTGTAAATTTCATGGGTATATGCACATCTACCCCTGCTTAAATCTCAAGTTTCGTCATGATTCTAGGTATGTGAGCAAATTATTGTCAAATTAGTTGGATGGGAGCCAGCAGATGTTCATGTTTTAGACATAAAACCATGGGCAATGCATGCTGAAGTTGCAGAGAAGTACATCTGCTGCAACAATCGAGTAATCCTTTCTGGTGATGCTGCTCACCGTTTTCCTCCTGCCGGTGGTTTTGGTTAGTGATTTACTTTGTTAATTTTTCTTACTATATGGATATGAAGTCCAAAAATCAGAAACATGCATATTCCGATTTCTTTGCAGGAATGAACACTGGTGTCCAGGATGCACATAATTTGGCGTGGAAATTGGGCTTGCTGCTGAATGGTGTCGCCTCACCATCAATATTACAAAGTTATGAGTCAGAGCGCCGGCCTGTTAGATTCTTCTCACAAGCTTTCTGTTCATCCAATGTCAATTTCTCTACTATTAAATTATAGAATTAATTTAGTGTGATACAATTGCTTGCTTATTGCAGGTTGCAATTTTCAATACAAAACTTAGCGTGGAGAACTTCAAGGCAGCTATGTCTATTCCTGCGACCCTTGGCCTTGGTCCAACTATTGCAAACTCAGGTAAATGTCCTGCTCCTGCATGAAGGCAGTAGACATTTTGTTGTTTTTTAATTTCATTGTAGATGTTGACAACAGATGCAAGTATGCAACTATAAGCTACCCTGCAATTTTCCCATCATCATTCTGGTTTATATACTGTTTACACACATTTTCAGTGCATCAAGTTATAAATAGAAGCCTCGGATCAATCATTCCGAGAAATGTACAGAAGGCAGTTCTGGAAGGATTGTTTTCCCTTGGTCGGGCACAAGTCTCAGACTATATCCTGAATGAGAAAAATCCCCTTGGGTCCTTGAGACTATCAAGATTGAGAAGTATTCTTGATGAAGGCAAAAGTCTTCAGCTGCAGTTCCCTGCAGAGGATCTTGGCTTCTAGTAAGACCCTTTACAACCGAGTGTTCCTAGAAAAACAACCTGTTCTTTATTTCTTTCAGCTATGTTGATGGGACATGAGTGGATTTCATTAATCTGTCCATCTTATCAGAATGCTGAAAAATATGTAAATTTTCTTTTGTCTATCTCACTTCTGCCTTCAGCTATGAAGAAGGTGCCCTTGTTCCTGAAGCTAGTTGTGAGAAGACTCAGGAAGGAGGAAAACTACAGCATTCTAAGAGGGCATCAAGGGAGTACATCCCATCTGCTAAGGTTGGTTCACGGCTTCCCCACATGCTAGTAAGAGGACTGCCTGCTTCAAGTGAGGTTTGTCCCTTAGACACCTGATTGGTACACATGTTTTAGCTATCCCTTGTACTGCTGCTTACATTGCGACTGTGGTGGATTCTTAAAGGGTGTGTTCTCAACACTGGACCTGGTGAGTGGGGATAAACTCGAGTTTGTTCTCATCATTGCACCAGTGAAAGAGTCATACGAGATTGCCCGTGCCACCCTCATGGTAGTAGACGAGCTTAAGCTATCAGCCAAAATATGCATAATGTGGCCAAGAGGTTCGACTGATGCTGAAGTGGAAGAGAGCAGATCTGAGTTGTCACCCTGGACAAACCATATCGATGTTGAGGAAGTACCTAGGGTGTCTGGTAGTTCATGGTGGGAGATGTGTCGGATTAGTAGGAAAAATGTCCTTTTGGTTAGGCCTGATGAGCACATAGCATGGCGAACAGAATCGGACAGGGTGAGGGACGCTGAATCAGAAATTAGGATAGTCTTCTCTCATATTTTGTGCCTAAATAGCCACCAGGTGTAAGAATTTGTAAATTGCCTTTCATTTAGTGATTGGTTGACATACAACATCAGTGAATTAGCATAGCAAATCATTATATTTGACATTTGACAAGTTACTCGCTAAAACCAAATTTGGACTGAATTCTGACAGACCAGATGACTGCGCTTTTAGTTTAATCGTGAACCAGTGAGAGAAATCATGTAAAGTATTGCTACTCGTTTAATTTAGTGGCGCATTATTTTTCCTCTTCATATGACTGCGCTGCGCTTACCATTTGTGTGTGATTCCCATAGATTGTCTCTTGCTGCACGGAGGTCAAGCTGGACGCTCAGGTCAGGTTATCATTAGTTCATGACAATGCTGGGCGACACCTGACTTCGGAGATGAGACCAGGTCTTCTCTTCTCCTGTTCAATTGGCGGTTTCCTATGGTTTTACGATGGAACCAAAGTACCAAACTGTTCCTCATCCGATGCATTTCATACCTCCAATCACCCAGAAACTTTTTTTTGGTGTAACCGCCGAACATGTCACAAGTGGACTCCGATTGGGTAACTTTCCTTCAGCAAGTCACAGCGTAACGTGCGGCCCTATATCAACGTTGAAACACCATCCGACGGCTGCCAGCTTTCTCCCACAAGATACTTTAGTTTTCCTCCGTGAAAGCTAGGTGGGAGTGGCTGCTCGTTCGCTGCGCTGTGCCGACCGTGCCCCACTGCCGCTCGCGCCGCCGCCATCGTCCGGAGGGGCCGAGCGCGAGCTGCATACAACGACGCCGGACGCTGCTCAGCAGCGTTCATCGCTTACCCGGCGAGATTGCGCCGCCGCCCCGTGGTCGCTGCGCCGTCGAGCTCCCCGTCGTGCCGCTTGGGCCGCTCGCCGCCGCCCAAGCGCGCTCTTTGCTCGGTCGGACGAGGTGGCGGCGCGCGCCTGCGGAGCTCCAAAGCGACGCCGCCTCCACAGCCCTCCCCCGGAGCTCCAAAGACGACGTCGGACCTCGGTCGGACCCTCCTCGACCTGCTCCCCGTCGCGGACCTCGGGCTCGCCAACGACGTGTCGGACCTCTGGCGCTTCGCGTCGCAGCGCAGTCGCGCCGCGCAGCCACCGGGCTGAGCTCAAGGCCGGCGTGCTCGCTCATCCAGTGGGGCACTCAGGGCGCCGCTCCCGCGCTGGCAGCCCACCGCCGCACGCCGCCGAAAGCGACGCGGCCTGCGGCGCGCGCGGTCCGCCGGTGCCAGCAGCTCCCAGATGGCCCATTCCACGCCGGGACCGCCACCACCGCGACGCCGGCCTCCCCGATGAACGCGCGGTTGTTGTCGGACCCGGACTTGGCCAGCTCCGGATCTCTTGCACCACGCGCTTGGTCGCCTCGGGGAGAACGAGGCCGACAGCTTCTTCACGAGGAACGACGCGCGTTCAAGGCGCTTTTGTTCGCGCCTACCACCACCGACTTTCCCGCGCGCGCGATTGATCTCCTAACCAGCCCAACGCCTATTGGGCCTTGGTCACGCGCCTGATCGGGAACGTGCCCTACATGGTTGGTGGGCCCCGTCACAGTCGCTATATAAAGAGGTGGGGGCGGCTCAAAAGCACGAGGTTCGTCGTGACCCAAACCGCAAACCCCACCGACGCCCTAGACCGATCTAAGAGGGCGCGCAGCCGACGGAAAGCTCACGACCTTCATCATCGCATCGCCACGCCATCCGCCTCTGCGGCAACCTCTACTCCAACCCGTCGCTGCCCGTGTCTTGCCTCCATCAACGAACCAATGATGGCCACTCAACCGCGACTTCCTCCGAAGGCTCGCAACACCAAACCTCTACCCTATCTACCTCTCGGTGTAGTGTTCTAGGTCTAGATGTGAATGTGCTTTACGGATCCAAGTGTTAATCCGCCTAGATCTACCCTAGTCGATCTACGTAATGTTCACAATGGTACCGCCACGGCTTAGGTATAGATATGGCTAGGGTTTTGATCTAGAAAGTAGAAAGGGCTTTCGGGCCGACAAAGGGTTCGGTTGAACCCTAAACTCGGTCCTTTCGGATCTCGAGAAAACATGATGGTTCGGGAAAAGTGAAGAATCAACATCCAAACCCTAGATCGGGTTTTGGAGATGAAAACTGAAATCAATTAAACCCGAAGGTGATTCGGGAAAAAATAATAAAGGTGCCCCTAACCCTAACCCTAACCCTAATCGGGAAATCGTGCAAAATCTGAACAAACGAATCAAAGAAACCGAAAGGGGAAGAGGGAAGGAGTGGCTTACCGCCGTCGCACGCCACCACGCTGGGAAAAGAAAGGGCCGGCCGGGTGAACTCGCCACGGAACAAAGCCACAGGCGCCGGCCAAAGCTCGATGATGGCGCGCGCTCACCACCTGGGAGCGCCGCGCACGCGGCGAGGGGGCCGAGAGACGGCGCCGGGCTCGCCGCTCTCTCGCTGGCGCGCTTTGCGGATCGCCGCGGCGGACCGAGGGAGAGGAGAGAGCCGAAGAGAGAGAGAGCGGCGGTCAATGGCGCTAGGGTTCATAAGCGCCGCCAAGGTCGCCGGTTTTGATCTCACGATGCATGGCGGCAGCCGCCGATGGAGACGGACGACCACGAGCGAGTGGGCCAAGTCGCGCCCCAGCGGATAGGGCACGAGGTCGAAATCCCGGCCCAGGCCCAGGTTGCGGCTCGGGCGCTGGGAATACTGGCGCGCTACCGGCACGCCACCACCGGCCCACCGGCCTTGGTCAGCAGTAGTCGCGCCGTCCGGCCGCGCGCCGCGTGAATAGGCCATGGGCCGTTACCGCCGCATAAAATCGATTGTTTGATCGGACTGCACGCTTTTTGATTTTCTTATTTTCCGGTTTGATCAATTTGAATTGAATTTTTGTGATAATTTTCGCACAAAATTCATCCAACGATAATTTTGTTCAAGAAAATAGTAAAGTTGCTTCGGAAAATAGGAAAATGATCATTGAATGTTAATGTTTCATTGTGTATTTAAAGTAATTATGGACTTTTAATTAAATTCAACCAACGGGAGAATTTGATTTTAAGAGCCAAGAGATAAATATAAGTTGATTATGATATTGTTATTTTCTGACCAACGTTGTTAATAGCAATATTATAATTTTAATGATTATGCATTATTTCTATTTCTGCCCAACGGTGATGTAGATTTAATGTATAAAATAATTGTATGTTTTAATTTTGACCAACGTTAAACTAAGGCATGCAATTATTGTTGTTATTTCTGTTCTCACACTATTTGAATTGTGTTTTCGGAGGATACAACTTAATGAGTTGTATCAAAGAGATCCCCACTCTAAAAGGTGATAACTATAATGAGTGGAAGAAAAAGATAGACTGGCCTTCATCCTCGGCCGAGGTGGATGGAGTTGTCACCACACCGCTTCTGCAGAACCACCGTGGCACCGCCGATGAGACCCGATCTTTGCATGGCGTAATAGAGAGCGGGATTTTGCTCCTCAGAAAAGATGTCCTATGACCTTGAGCATAGGAATGGGTCACCGCCAACAAGAAGTGTTTGGCAAGAATAATAAGAACATACTTGAGCCTGCTATTGGGGGCTCAATTCCAGCGCACGGTCACAAAGTACCTAGATAGAATAAAGAGTCGAGTTCAACGGCTCTTCAAAGACATATGCAACCTAGTGATCAAGCAACCGGTTACGAAAAAGTACTCGATGGCGGCGGTGGCATTAGAGAGCACATACCGAGAATGAGCAATCGCATCTAAGCTCAAACCAATGGATTTGGCACTCAAGGATGAGTTTCTTATTCATTTGATTTTTGCTTTTTGCCCAAAGAATTTGACACCTTTGTTGTTAATTACAACATACACGCAAAATGGGATTTAGAAAAGCTCATAGCCATGTGTGTGCAGGAGGAGGAAAGAATAAAAGTTTCACAAGGTGGTTCACAACTACCTAAAAGATAAGAAAAGAACTATTATAATAGCTCTTCCTCCAAGTCATCTGAAAAGGTCCCATGCAATCAGTCTCGAACCAAAGAATTCCAGGTGGCTAAAGACCAAAGTCTCTCTATCAGAAGAAGACGGGACATTATAAAAAGAACATCCCGATTTCCTAAAGATGATAATAAAGAATAAAGGTGAGAACATTATTACGCTCAGAAATGAATCCTTGTATGTAAAGTTTTCAAAATCTACTTGGTGGATTGATTCAGGTGCAACTATTCATGTTGCTAATTCATTACAGGGATTCCGTTCGATGAGAACTTTGCAAAGAAGCAAAAGTTTCATTAAAGTCGCAAATGGAGTACAAGCAGATGTTGAGGCCGTTGGAGATCTTCCTCTAGAGCTTCCAGATGGCTTTATACTTTTTCTTAGAGATGTTCTTTATGTACCTTCTTTGCAAAGAAACCTGATTAGTGTATCAAAGTTGGACCATGATGGTTATGATTGCCATTTTGGAAATGGCAAATGTCAGATATTGTTTAATAATAAATGTGTTGGTCTTGCCTTCCGACAAGACGAGCTTTATTTGTTATCACTTCGTGAAAATGTGAATTCCGTATGTGATGTGAATGAAAATGTATCCTCATCGAACAATGGAAACAGAAAACGAAAGAGAGCTCACGATGCGTTGTCGAAATTATGGCACTTGTCGTTTAGGCCATATTTCGAGGGGGAGAATAGAAAGACTAGTTAAGAATAATATTCTTCCTTCATTAGAGCTCTCGCAATGTAGAGATTGCATAAAAGGAAAGTATGTAAAGAAAATTAAGAAAGATGCCAAACGAAGCGCGAAATTCTACAGATTATTCACACGGTATATATGTGGTCCTTTTCCCCGTGAAAAGTGTGGATGGTTATGATTCATTCATAACATTCACGACGATTACTCTCGGTTTGGCTACATTTATCCAATTAAAGAAAGAATGAAGCGTTGGATAAATTCAAAATATTTAAAGCGGTTGAAAATCAGCATGATTTAAAGATTAAGATAGTCGTCCACCCACCGTGGGGGAGAGTACTACGGTCGGCATACCCCATATGGACAAGTTCTGGACCTTTTGCAAGGTTCTTACAGGAGAATGGTATAGTCGCCAAAGATTCAACACCGGCGCGAACCTCAGCAGAATGGAGTAGCCGAAAGGCGAACTGCACTCTCGATGGATATGGTGCGTAGTATGATAAGTTACTCCACTTTACCGATGATGAGTCTATGGATGGAGGCGTTAAAACCGCCATTCATATTCTCAATAGAGTACCAAGTAAGTCGGTGCCCAAAACACCGTATGAGTTGTGGATGGAAGAGTACCTCACTTAACCACTTGCGTGTGTGGGGAGCCTCACTGAGGCTAAAGTTTTAACCCAAACATTGGGAAGCTAGATCCCAAAAGCAAAGGAGTTGCCATTTCATTGGCTACCCGTAAAAGTCAAAAGGTTTTCGCTTTCTCCGTCCTAACAGACATACAAAGTTTGTGGAAACGAGACACGCTGCCTTCCTAGAGGATGAAATGATTAGGGGGGCATGGTAGCTCGAGAAATTGACCTTGAAGAGAAGCGGGTGTATGCACCCACTCCGATCATTCATGATCCATTTTCTCACTACTGCTGTTGCTGTCGCACTAACAAGACAAGACACTCAATGTGTCAAGACTGTTGTTATCCCACTGTGGCAACAATGAATGATGATGAGGAACCTGTGCCTCGGGATCCTATAGAACCCTATTGCCACACATGAGGGGGCAACAACAGCCTCAAACAGTAAAATGTGCCAATTGAGGAGGCCCCTAGAAGGTCTCAAAGAGTTAGAAAATCAGCCATTCCTCACGATTATGAAGTGTACAACATCAAGAATTTCAAATGGAGGATGATCCCACCTCATTTGAAGAAGCCATGAAAAGTGATCATTCATCAAAGTGGCTTGAGGCCATGGAAGATGAGATGAGATCAATGAATGCAAATAAAGTTTGGGATTTGGAGATGATTCCTAAAGGAGCCAAAACAAGAGGGTCAGAAATGGGTCTACAAAACAAAACTTGACTCTCAAGGGAATATAGAGAGATATAAAGCCCGACTTGTGGCAAAAGGCTTTACACAAAGAGAAGGGATTGATTACAATGAGACCTTTTCTCCAGCCTCATGTAAGGATTCCTTCGAATCATAATGGCATTAGTGGCACATTACGATTTGGAATTACATCGATGGATGTAAAGACGGCATTTCTCAACGGAGACTTAGAGGAAAATGTTTACATGGCACAACCGAAAGGTTTTGTCATGGAAGGAAAAGAACGTTTGGGATGCCGCCTAAAGAAATCTATTTATGGATTAAAACAAGCTTCAAGACAAAGGTATTTGAAGTTTGATCGCACAATAAGAATTTTGGGTTTAAAGATAATGTTGAGGACAATTGTGTCTACGCAAAAGTTTAAGAATGGGAAGTTTATCTTCCTTGTCCCGTATGTGGATGATATCTTACTTGCTAGTAGTGATGTTAGTCTACTACTGAAGACAAAGAAGTTTTTGTCCTCAAAATTTGATATGAAAGATCTTGGTGAAGCTTCGCTCGTTCTAGGGATCGAGATTCACCGAGATAGAAGTAAAGGGGTATTAGGACTGTCACAAAAGGCATACATAGAAAAGTCTTAAAGAAATTCAAGATGCACAAATGTAGTCCCTCACCGCTCCTATAGTCAAGGGCGATAGATATGGGGATTTTCAATGCCCCAGTGAACCAATATGAGATCGATCAAATGAAAGTGGTTCCATATGCTTCAAATTGTTTGAAGCTTGCAATATGCTCAAGTGTGTACGCTGCCTTGACTTGGCATTTGTTACCGGGTTATTTGGCGATTCCGTAGCAATCTGAATAGAACACTGAAATTGGTAAAGAAAGTCTTGCGTTATTTGCAAGGAACGAAAGGCCTCATGATGACGTATAGAAGATCTGATTCACTCCATATAGTGGGATATTCAGATTCTGATTATGCGGGAGATAATAGAAAATCCACGTCTGGATATGTGTTTACTCTCGCAGGGGAGCTATTTCATGAAAAAGCTCAAAGTAAACCGTCACTACATCGTCCACAATGTATGCCGAGTTTGTAGCGTGTTATGAGGCAACGGGGCAGGTGAACTGGCTAAAGAAGTTCATAGCCGGTTTGAAGGTGGTTGACGACATCAATAGACCACTGAAGTTATACTGCGATAATAATCCAGCAGTACAGTATGCTCACAACAATAGGGCAAGTGGTGCTGCCAAACACATTGACATAAAGTATTATGTCGTGAAGGATAAAGTCCGGGATCAAATGATAAGTCTTGAGCATATAAGTACCGAAAAGATGCTCGCGGATCCGCTTACAAAAGGCTTACCACCCAACGTGTTCAGAGAACATGTAGCCGGCATGGGTTTAAGGGAAAGCCTATGATTCCTGGACTATAAAGGGCCCAAAAGTTAAAGTAACTATTTCAGATCGAGACGCGTGCATTGTAGTCATTAAATCTATCGGCGATTGACCGTGATTTATGAGACATGCTCTATGCATCATCTGTGAAGAAATGAGAAAGGATAAAAGGATTGAAGTTTAAAGTTTAAAGATAAAAGTAATGGTGAGATCAAGGGGGAGAATGTTAGATTGATCTCCTAACCAATAGGCCCAACGGCCTATTGGGCCTTGGTCACGCGCCCTGATTGGGGACGCCCAACCCTACATGGTTGGTGGGCCCCCGTCGCACTGCGCTATATAAAGAGGTGGGGGCCGGCGGCTCAAAGCACGAGGTTCGCCGTGAGCCGCAAACCCCAATCGACAAAACGCTAGACCGATCTAAGAGGCGGCGCGAGCCCAATGAAGCTCGCCGACCTTCACCGTCGTCATCGCCACGCCGTCATTCTCCAGACCGCATCGACGTCCATGCAACCTCTACTCCAAATTGCCGCGCCTGTGTGCGCCTCCATCAACGAACCAATCGATGGCCACTCAACCGCGATTCCTCCGGCTCAGGTTCAACACCGGCGCCTCTACCCTATCTACCTCTCGGTGTAGTGTTCTAGGTCTAGATGTGAATGTGCTTTACGGATCCAAGTGTTAATCCGCCTAGATCTACCCTAGTCGATCTACAGAATGTTCACACTGCTCTCCATGGGGATGCCGTTCTCCCGGCACCACCGCGATATCAAGTTCTTGAGCGCCTTGTTGGGCACGAGCTCCAGATTCGGCAGCACCTGCCCGGTCTTGGGGCACGTGGATTTGCCGGCGCCGAACCACCGCGTGATGGAGTCGCGGTCGTACGTCTGACCCCTAGAAGCCACGACGGGGTCGCCCATCAGCTCGAGGGAGATGGGGCACCGGAAGTCCGGCGGCGGCGACGGTGGCTCCGCGTCATCGTCGCCGTCGCCGTCGTCGAGATCCACCTTGGAGTCCACGGACCGCGACGTGGCGGCACTGAAGAGGACGCACTTGGCGTAGCGGAGGAGGCCGACGAGGGCGATCATCGACGACGCGGTCGCCGATCTCCCGCTCGGGCACGATCTCCCGCTCCACCTCCTGGATGAGCGCGAGCACACCGGCCTGGCGGCACTGCCGCGACGCGAGCGCCAGGAGGTCCGACACGTCGGCGGCGAGCCCGAGGTCCGCGACGGGGAGCAGGTCGAGGAGCGTGGCGAGGTCGTGCTGGAGCTCCCGCGCGCGCGCCGCCACCTCGTCCGACTGGAGCAGCAGGCGCGTGCGGCTGCGCGCGGCGCAGTCGGCCACAAGCGCCTTGAACCGCTGCAGCACGAGGAGGAGCTCCCTAAGGCATAGCGACCACGGGCGGTGGCGCAGTACTGCTCGGGTAAGCGAAGGACTGCTTGGCCCAGGCCGGCGGCGACGCTGCTGAACAGCGTCCCCGCGTCGTTGTATGCAGCTCGACAGCTCGGCTCCTCCGACGACGGGCGGCGGCGCAGGACTAGCGCAGCGCGCGCGAACGAGCGGAAAAAAATTCGGTGGATCCGGTATCTACTGCGTGTAAATGCATACAGGATCCGATTCCTGCCACGTGGATGTTCAGAAAAATCTGACGCGACGCGTGATGGCTCGCACAAGTTCTCTCCCACGATGCGTGATGCCTTGCAGGCCCGCACAACTCACTCGGCTCGCAGACACCGAGCAGCGTTCGTTGGATAATTTTAGGCGTCCACGTGGCAGGAATCGGAAGCATGTATGCACGGCTTCGTAGTGGATACTGGATCCACTGAATTTTTTTCCGAACGCACTCCCGTCTAGCTTTCACGGAGGAAAACTAAAGTATCTTGTAGGAGAAAGCTGGCAGCCGTCGGATGGTGTTTCAACGTTGGATATAGGGCCGCACGTTACGCTGTGACTTGCTGAAGGAACGTTACCCAATCTGAATCCATCACAAGTTCACGTCGCAAGAAGAGGTGAAATGGAAAACTAGAACGAACAGAAATACTCTCCTAAACAAAGAAGAACGGCGCACACGAGATACCATCATAGTACATACATTCCTACCTACCTAGTAGCTAGTAAAAGTACGAAAAATGATGTTACACCGAAAAAGGCCCAATCACTGCAAACTAATCTCTTTGAGGGAAAAAATGAATCCAAACTACTACGTAATAAGCAGCTGGCTGTAGCCGTAGCACCGGCTGGTGATCCATCCACCGGTTGAGTTCAGGTGATGATGAGCTGGCGCACGTTGACCGGCGAGACGTCCTCGGGCCCGCCGTCGAGGATCCGGCGGGCGATGAGCGCGTTGGCGGCCTCGCTGGGGTGGTAGGGGTCCCAGAACACGTACTTGGACCTGTCCGCGCAGTATCGCGACGTCGGCCCGCACGGCACCAGCCCGCCGAACCGCCCGCCCACGTAGCAGCACGCCGAGTCCGCCACCTCGAACCCTGCACGACACGAGCACAGCAGATTAGAATCCGAATCCCTATATGAGTTGTGATTTAGACTAGATCGAGTAGCCCGGTACCGTGGGATCTGTAGTTGGCGATGATGTCGGAGAAGATGTGGTAGACGTCGGCGTAGACGAAGCGCGAGCCGGGGAGGGTGGCGCCCAGCTCGTCCACCAGGGCCCTGAGCCGCCGGTTGAAGGCCTGCGCCAGCTGGTTCGGGAACTCGGCGCAGGCCGTGCCGCCCGACGGGTTCGTCTCCCTCTGGTACGGGATGCAGCCGATCGGCCCCACGTTCACCACCACGATCTTGCGGGCGTCCAGGAGGTACAGCCTCTGCAAACGCACGGCAAACCACGGGTAACAACGCATTGCCATTGCGAGATGCCTGACGGCGGTTGCCCAGCTGCAAGCGAGAGAAGCTTACGGTGAGCTGCTGGCGGTACTTGGCGATCATGGCGCTGATGAAGGCGACCGGCGGCGTCGTGACGCGCTGCGGCACGGAGAAGATGGGCGTGAGGTAGTTGTTGATGAAGTCGTTGGAGCCCATGGTGACCGAGAAGAGCGCGCCCCGCAGCAGGCTCACCGCCTCCACCTCACCGTGCCGCGCGATCAGGTCGTGCCGGCTGTTCGCGTAGTTGTCGATCTGGGCGTCCAGGTTCAGGCGCCCACCCTGTCCAAGGCAGATCAAACACATACTATCAGCAACAGCTCGCGTTAAGGGCTTAAGGCAACCACATTATCTGTGTCTATCTCCCATTCAAAATGATTTTTTTTCGTACGTACTAGGAGTAAAAGCTTATCACTGATGACAAGTTATCGTAGGGAACAGTGAAACAGTAAAATGACAGCATTTTTGTACGGTAATGCAAGCATGCAGCTAGCAATTCGTTATTTGTTATTTCCTCGGTACGGTGCTTTGACTTTTTTTTTTACATGTATTTTACTATGCATATGTCTAGATACGTAACAAAATAAATAAACCAAATAAGTCAAAGCGACTTATAATTTGGAATGGAGAGAGTAGCTCTGTATTTCACGCTATAGAGAAGTTTTTGGGAACTAACTCATGCAGATGCGATGATCAAGTTACGTGAGAACAAGCTAAGCATTGGGGTAGAACATAAGCATTTCACACAACAGATTTGGTGGAGGCCATGTACTGACGAAGATACTGCCGGTTTGGTTGAGGATGCCTCCGCCGCCGGACGCGTAGTTGACGCCTCTCATCGCGGCATCCCCCGTGGTCTCCGGGGCCATGTACGGCGGCACGAACCCTCCCAGTCCCATCTCTTGCCCTGAAACATCATCCAAAGGAAAAGGGTGGAGAAATTCAGGAGGCAATCAACTGGCAGGCGATGCAATGCAGTGTACGAGTAACATAACATGAAAGATCAGGCAAAGAGACTGAGTGCGCATGTCACCTAGGATGTCGATGATGGTCCGGCCGTTCGTGTACCGGCCGGTGGGCTGGTGGCCGAAGAAGTCGATGCCGTTCGGTGGGTAGTTGGCCTTGGACAGGGATACGATGTAGTTGTTGTTGCCGGCGTCGACGAGCGAGTCGCCGAAGATGAAGTTCGGCGGCATGCCGGCGCCGCCGGCAACGCGGGTACGAGCGAGCACGGCGAGGCAGGCCAGTAGTAGAGCGAGACGAGACGCCAGTCTAGGCCGATGCTCGTGCGGCCGACGCATCGATCGATGAGGCAAGTGTGTCACGTATGCTCTGGGAGTGGGAGATATCAAGCGTGAGGCGGTGGGGGCCTGCCTTCCCCTAGTAGAAAGCTGCCGTTTGAGTGTTTCGCAGCGGGGAGGAAATGGTAGAAGCCTGGAAGTTGGTTGCGGTGGAGGAGAAGGTTGATGGCGAGGGAAGAAAAGCTTTGCCTGCTTATATAGCACGAGAAACAGAATCTAAGCTCTAAGTGGCCGCAGAAAAAATAATGCAGACAGCTGAGTCACTGAGACGATAGATAGGAAAAAAAAAAACTAACTAACAGAAATAGGCTTTGATGCTTGCAAGTAGGAGTAGTACCGATTAGCTCTCCAAATATACCACAGATGGCAGACAAAGGTTTAAATCGAGAACAAATGTACGCAAAGAAAGCCACCAAGAAACCGAGACTGACGGGGAGGAAAGACTGCGTGACCTGCGAAGGTCGTTGCGAGCAGCATTACATGAAAACCACACATGGCATTGTTTTCGCATGACGGGTAAGTATTATACACGTACACGGTACACGTCTAAATCCGACCGTCCGGCATTGAATATTTGAGTGGTTGCCTGTTGCTGATCTCTCAAGCCTTCATCAGCGCGGCCCGTGACCCGTGAGCGCTCTCGGCACCGGGACGGACGGTGACAGAATTCGGCTTCTCCCGCCCTGCAGTCCGTGCCTCTGGCTTCCGCATTTGGCGCATCGCATTATACTGACTGCATTTAGGAGCGTCCGTGCATGGCCTTGGCCTGACGAGCATTCATTCCATTTTCCCATTTCTGGAGCGCGAAGCGGGGCAGCGCTGCCAGCGGCAGGTCTCGAGCACTGGAGGCCCTGGATTGGACATGATCCGAAGCAGCAGATGCCCGGGCCGCTGTTTCTGTCACTGCCTGCACAGATCTACTACAGGTCCCGATAAGTAAATAGCAGATCTACTTCTTGTCTTGGAAATCAAACGGAGGTTTGGATCTTGCAGGGACGCCATTTACTCTGCTATTTACTGCCTCGCGGCATGATGCTCGATGCAAGTTGTTGCGCTTGCACCATGGTCCACGGTAAAAATTCGTACTACTAGCGTCTTTACTTGAAGTCGAATCAAAGAAAATGGAATCCCTGACCCCTGTTCTCGAAATAGAGCAGCAAAGCACGCGATCGAGAAGCCATACGCGGACCGCGGTACGCCCATACCAGTGGCTCGACCGGTATCATGTAGTGTACCGTAAAAGAACTCTCGAACTGTTTGGTTCAGTTAGTGATAACGTAAATGGAAATGGAATCAAATAGCAGTGTAATGGGAAGAGTGTGATCTTAAGATGTTCGGCTGATGGTTTTTGCGGCTGATAAACAAACTGATGTTGTTTTATTGCGAGAGAAAAACACTGTAGCATAGATGATAAGTTCAAGCGAACAGACTGGTATAGGCCTTTGTTGTTTCACGTTTGACGTCCTGTTTGCTTGACTTATAAGCTGTACTTTTTCAGCCAACGAACAGTATTTTTCTCTCACAACAAATCAGTCAACAGTATTTTCAATCATGAGTCTTGGAAGTCCCGGATGAACAGTGAAATGGACACAAATTTAAAGTTTTATATTATATAGATATAGATGCAATACTCTCTGTAATGAAGTTGCGTTACATTTCAGAGAGCCAAACAGTATCTCTTTCGTTTTCCTAAGAAAGGGGTTTAGAAATTGACTCGTGCTGAGAGAAGAAAAAAAAGGCAACGACCGTTAGTCAAAGCTGGTTTGCTTTCGTCCGGTTCGGCAGGACTTACGGCTGCTACGGTTTATTTGCAGTGCTGATTTGTTTGGCTTATTCGTTGGTTGGTTTCTAGGTTAGCTGGTGCTGGTTTGTGAGAGGAAAACATTGTTAGCTGGTTGGTTTGGGCTGGCTGAAACCAACAAGCGAACAGGCTGGTTGTGAGGAAATAACACTGTTCCTATGGCTTAAAAGTAGGAGTGATTCTGACTGATAAGCTCAAGCGAAAAAGGCCTTTGTTGCAGCCTCGCAGGTGATTCAACTCTCGAGGCAATGGCAGGCGAACGTGTCGCGCAGTGGCAAAGCTCCAGTGATGGGAGCTGGCCGGCCGAGGTTCGAACCCCGGTTCTGCACCGCTTGCTTCGTGCAAGCAAATAATTTTCTGTTGCCTCACACGCGGATGTTTTATAATAGTCAGGGTAACATGCTCGTCACGCTCGAAGCCGGTTGACTTCGGGTACTTCTTAGCCACAGATACTATAGCTTATACTTGAAAAGTCTCGAGGCAGTGGCATCATTCCCTTACACTGCGATGGTTGGTTGCTATTGCTACATGACCTCTTTCTTTCAGAATTTCATACTCCCTCTGTCCAGAAAAATGCAACCACAGATTGCGTGCCAACAAAAATAGTTCATGTTTGACTAAATTTCTAGTGAATAATATTCACATTTACAACTCCAAAAAGAATTTATTATAAAAATACATTTCATAATTAATCTAATGATATTTATTTGATATCATAAATATTACTATTTTTTATTTATAATTGATCGAACTTAGGATACTAAATTACGACATTGTGCTAGAATTACATTCTTTTTTGGACGGAGGGAGTACTTCACTGCACTCCCTCCATTTAAAAAAAATAAAATTATATCATTGTGCCAAAAAAGTAGTCAATCTCTCCTGCGATGTTTTATAGTCGTTGGATTTGATTGAATGGCTAGATCATCGCCTTCAACCTCTAGCGTAGCTGCTGCTTTGTGTCACTTGTGCATGGTCGTCTCCACCACTATCTCTTCTTCGGGCGTCCCCTGTGATGACATGGCCAGTTATCCGCCCGCTGCCTTTAAATAGTCGTCTTGTCAGCAGTACTTTTCAGTAAAGAAACAATGTTTTTTCTCATAACAAATCAGGTTAGCAGCAGTCAAATTTTAGCGAAACCCGCAACAGGGCCAATGTTAGAAATCTGATCTTTGTTGGCACAAAAATAATTAATAAATTACAATTGTCTCTATAGTCAGGTAAGAACAAAAATATGATCTATGTTGATACAAAGACAGTTAATAAATTACAATTGTTATTTCTATAGTATACAAGGATAGAAATCTAATATGTGTTGGCATAAAGACAATTAACAAATTACAATTGTTTTTATAGTTAGACAAGGGCAAAAACCTATAAGAGTAAAATGCACCACATGTTCATTAACTTTTAGATGGGTGTTATTTGGGTCCATCAACTTTTAAAGTATATTTTTGGGTCCTTAAACTTTCTATATTGTGTATTGTAGGTCCATAACTGTTTAGTTGTTTGATAATTTTTTATTGAACCCCTTCACTTGAATAACTCCATCTCAAAATAGCACACGAGCAGACATGGGTGCTGGCAGCCACGCCGTTGCTCAGCGAGTGTGCAGTCGGTCGCACAGGCCAGCCACACCGCCGCGCCAGGCCAACTGGCAGCAGCGTGGCGCAGGCGCCTGGGCCAGCCAAGGCGTGCTAGCGGTCGGTCGGTCGTTCGCACCGGGCAGCCACGCGCGCCACTAGTCCGGGCCTGCTACACCACCGCTAGCCGAGCGGGAGCCCGGGCGGGCGGGCTGCTCAGCCGGACAGCCATGCCGCCACTGGCCACGCATGACTGCTGTAATTCCTCAAGATGGGGTGGAGCGGGTCGCTCCAGCGGTTCATTAAACCGATAAAAAAAAACTAATCAAATGGGCCCCTAATACAACCCATAACACACCAGAGGGGCAACGGATCTGAACCACCCAAACCAAAGGATCGCATGGATCGACCCTTTTCTACCTGACGCTGCCGCCGGCGCCGTGGCCGGCTGCCGCCCCTGCCGGTTTCTCTTTCTCTCCACGTACGCCGGAATCTCGGAGCTCCATGCCCTTCCTTTTAGGAGAGCGCTGCCGTCATGCTGCTGTCGAGGGCGGAGTAGAGCGATAGGATGGGCGTGGGCGCCCCGTCCAGTGAGGCCAGCGTGGATCGCGGAGCACGGCGAGGCGGAGGATCGGGGAGGAAGACGAGTACGAGGACGAGTCCATCATCCATCACTCCGTGAGCGTCGACGACATCTAGGTCTGCCAGTTCCACGCATGCACGCAGCTCCTCGTTACGTGACGACATGGTGCTGACATGCGTCACCTGCAGCGCGCGACGGCGGTGGTGCTCTCGAGGATGAACTGCTCGAAGCACGGGAACGGCGAGCTCTGCACGTCCCCGAAGTCGTCGGCGTCGGCCTCCACGAACAGGACGCCCTGCGCGGGGCAGTCGATAACGAGCTTCCTCGTCCCTGTGTCTTCCTCGCGGAGGCGGCCGGCGAGCGGCCTGTACGCGTACGCAGAGGAGAGAAGACAGGCCGAACGCGAGGCGGCCACGATGCAGGCGGAGGCAGTGGCACAGCCGCACAAGGATTTGGACGCTCGCGATCGGATGACGTCGTGGTTGCAGAACGCGCTGAAGAACGCGAAGCAGAGGTGCGCGAGTCCGAGGCGATGCAGAATGCGCTCGAGGCAGCGTGCACGACGACGTGACGAAGAGCGCCAAGCGGAACATGGAGACGCTGCTCGGGGCATCCACGTGCGTACTCTGCGTGAGGATCCGTGACTCAGGACAGGGTGGTTAGAAAAATAATATATAGAAGTGCAAAAATTAATGGCTAGAAAAATAATGCGCAGGCAGTTCCATTTGATGTTACCGGGTCTGGGCTCCAATAGATAAAACTCCGAAGCACATACAACCCAACAGAGAGTTTGAAGGTGCATGAAAAGTAAACCAAGATCAGCGGTTGACACAACGCCTGAACGGACTTTTAGAAAAATAGGCGACTGATAGATAGGAAGTGTTTTTTTATTGCTCTTGCCTTTTTTTAAGGCATTATAGTGTATAATCTGTGTTTAAATCATTCTTTATTAATATAATATCGGTATGTCTAGCGCCTGACGTCCAGAAGGGGCTAGCGTCCGGACGACCGCACCTACTACGTCTGCTTCATGTGGGGCCCCGTGCCGCTTCGTGTCCCGTGCTCGGACCATGTCTCATCCCCGCGCCACTCCGTGGCCCACGCGCGCTTTGTGTCCCACCCTGCTCCGTGTCTCGCGCTAGCACCGTGGCGCCCCCTCCACACCCACGTGCACGCAGGCGGCCCTAGCAGCTACAGTAGGTGGCTGCTATAGATGGGTCTCACTACAACATGTGCAGCACCATATTTACTTTGAGCGCTCATCTACTTTTGCAACATCTAGATGAAACATTTGCAAACATACATCCGAATCAATTGAAACACTTGCAACATGCGTATGAAACACCAGGAAAACACGTGTTTAGCCATTGCAGAACATATGAAACATATGTGTGAAATATATGTAACATCTAGATAAAACACTTCCAAACAAATGAGTGAAACACATAAAACAACCAGACAAAACATGTGCAACACACACGTCTGAAGCATCTGAAACATTTGGAATAATACACTTGCAACATACGTGTATAGCCACTACAACATTTGCAACATCCACGTAAAACACTTGCAACTTGCAACAAGAAAACACTTGCTACTACATAAGACTAAAAACATGTGAAACATTTAGAACATACTCTTGCAACAGTGCAACATCCCGATCTACTTTTGCAACATCCGTATGAAGCACTAGCAACATACCTCTGAAATATCTAAAACAATTAAAACATACGCTTGCAACATGAGCTTAGACGAATGGAGCTCGTCATTATGGAGCTCAATGCCGACGCGGAGGTCACCAGCGACGCATGGAGCTTGCGACAACGCAGAGGTCGGCGGTGGTGCATGGAGCTCGCAACGGCGCTGACATCCGGCATGGGCAAGTCACCGGCAGATGGAGCATCGGCGTGTGGAGTTCACTGGAGGCAGCGGCCTAGCGGCGCTTGGAGGCGACGACGGCTGCATGACATGGAAGGGACACATCGGCCGCACGACGCGGAAGGGAGGCATCGGCCTAGCGACGCGGCTGGGAGGCAGCGGCCGCATGACTAGGAGAGGGTAGCAGGGCCGGTAGTCGAGCGCCGATCACGTCCTGCCTAGCAGACCTAGCGGCCAAGCACGGCGCCTTGAAAGCGGCTCGCTGGCCAAGCATCGTTTCACATGAGCGGCTGTCGTCGGGGCTAGCCTGCCTCCGCGAGGTTGCATCTGTGCGGAGCGCGCCGTGGAGCTCTCCTGCCTCCACGCCGTCACCCGCGAGGCTCACTGGCCTCGCGTCGTCGTGCACAAGTGACTGCCGATAGGGCTCGCCTGCCTCCGTGTCGATACGAGCTTGCCTCTGCGCAGACTGCATGCCGCTGGGGCTTTCTTGCCTCTGCGCCGCCACGCTGTGGCTCTTCGGCACGCCGCAGACCATCGGTGCTCGTTGCTCTGTGTTGGATGCGCAAAAGGGAGGAGATTGGGGAGAGAGAAAAGAGGGGCAAGGAAGCGAACGGATTGTATAGGAATGAGTGGATGAGCAGAGCGTTGCGCTCGGATGCAGCAGGCGAGCAAATAGGAGCGATAGAAACGTGTGGATAGGAATGAATGGATGAACAGTTTTTAGAAACGAAGGAGCAGGAGGTTATTGGTTTGGCGACGTGGCCCACCAACAGAGCGCCCAGGTGGATGGACGCCCGCTTCCCAGCATAATTGATATAATATGCAGCTCTCCAGCCCGTTTGTTGTTTGAAGAAAAAAATTGAACACAAGATGGCGAGCACCAAATTCCTTTTTTTTAGAAAGAGCATCAATTTTTTTTGAAAGTGTTTTTTTTTCTTGGTTCATCATAACTCCAGGCGTCCGGCAAAAAATGGTAGTGGTACACGACAGCCCAAACTAATCAGCCCATAGGCTTATGGACATTATACAAACGAAGGCGGGTTGGAGGCTTGGAGCCCATGGGCCGGCAGCACCGAGTAAGTCGCAAGGTGGCAAACTGGCAATCGCCGTAAGCACGCCGTGTATCTTGATCAGTGATCACTGAATCGGTTGGTGCATTGCGATGGTTAACAACCGGTCAAGACGACGGTGATGGTTTTGTGATTGTCCTGTGACAGGATGCATGTGATGCATGCATAATGCATTGCAAGCGGAAGGCAACTGCCCGGGCTGGGCGCTGACGCGTCCGTCGTCCAAGCGCGTGCCGCCATCGCGGTTCGCGGCGGCTCTCACCCCGGAAAGGCGTCCAAGTACCTCGTCGTCGACTTCATCAACGGAAAAGGAGTGGCTGCCGGCGCGCTACTATCAATCTGAACAGAATGAACATGAGCAACCGATTAGCTGCGATAGGACTTTAGACAGATCAACTGATGATCCTGTCCTCGAAAATTTGTGCATGTAATTGCTACAACAAGTTGAAGCAGGTCCTTTCTGTTGTGGCGTCCAGCGCATCATCACATTTATATATTTGGCTGTACCATAAAATTTGCAACGGCCTTCTCACTTTGTGTAGTATATAGTACATACATAATATCTTTATTTCGACAAAATACAATTAGAATAGTACAAGTACAAAGTAATCTTTCATCTTGCTACTGACGCAGTGTGTATGTATATATACCGTATAAACCATCATACAACTATGGCCGACTAGACGCATTGCAACATTCTTATTTTGTTTACTATGACCGTTACGCAGAGAGTATATGATCAGGGTCGATCGGTATAGCACACACATGCTATAGCTTGACTCCACGCATGCCAGTCAAGGGAGTGCCTCGAGCACTTGCATGCAGTCGAGCTGCGAGCACTTGCATGCAGTCGAGCTGCATGCATGTAAGAGGCTGAATCAGACACCGCCGCCGATGCCACCTCCACCTCCGGCACCACCACCGTAACCACCGCCGCCGCCAGAGCCAAGGCCACCCCCAGCGCCAGCACCACCACCGTAGCCTCCACCAGCACCTCCACCGTAGCCACCACCGGCACCACCGCCGGCTCCTCCACCGTAGCCGCCTCCGGAGCCACCTCCTGCGCCTGCACCTCCACCGTATCCACCACCAGTGCCCCCACCAGCTCCTCCACCGTAACCGCCTCCTGCACCGGCACCACCTCCATAGCCGCCTCCAGCGCCACCTCCTGCACCAGCACCTCCGCCATACCCCCCGCCAGTGCCACCACCTGCACCTGCTCCTCCGCCGTAACCACCACCAGCCCCGGCTCCTCCTCCGCCACCAAGGCCACCGCCTCCACCAGCACCACCACCAAGCCCGCCGCCTCCGCCTTCACCACCGCCGAGACCTCCACCGGAACCACCCCCAAGGCCGCCGCCTCCACCAGCACCTCCGCCGGCACCACCACCATAACCACCTCCTTCACCGCCACCAAGCCCTCCGCCTCCGCCTAAGCCACCTCCAGCTCCACCACCGAGGCCGCCTCCACCGCCTGCACCCCCACCGAAACCACCACCCTTCCCTCCTCCAAACCCAACCCCAAGCCCTCCACCGTGCCCAAGGCCACCACCAAGCCCAAGGCCACCGCCGCCGCCGCCACCATACCCTCCCCCGCCACCAAGCCCGCACCCACCGCACAGGTTCTGCTTCTCCAAGGACCGCGCCTCGGTGGCCACCGCAAGAACCACAGCGACGGCCAGCCCCAGAAGCGCCATGTTCCACACACCCCTCGGCGCCCTCCCCATGTCGGGCCAAGCAGGAGGAGTTCACTAGCTAGAGCCAAGTAGTAGTGACGCTAGCTGCTGCTCTGGACTCTGGAGCGCTGGACGAAGAAGATCGAGCTCTATCGGTGAGCTTATATAGCGGGGCAGAGTGCCGTGTAGTCGCCTACCCAGTTAATGCGTAGGTGGTTGCGCGCGCGCACGGCCTCGCGTCCCTGCTTTCAGGACAGCCAGGTGGTGAGCGGGCAGGCACTAGCTCTAGCTCTAGCTGTGCTGGGACTGACTGTGGGCTGGGAGAGTACAGGGGGGACGGGCCCAGTTCACCGCGGGGCGCAGCGGGCGGCCGCTGAAGAAGTCTCGCCCCGCCCGCCGCATTGACCGTGATGGGTGGTGTGGCGAGCCGCGAGCGCCGCGCGGTGCGGCACTGGCGCTGGTCGATGCCGTGACGTGCGTGTCCCTCGCCCTCCCTGCGCGTCGACGGGGAGACGATGATGAGAATAGCAGACTGAGCTGCATTTATGTCGGCGCGCTGTGAGGGACGACGGCGCAACTACCCGCGCACATGCCAGAGCGACTTGGGCTGCCGGAGGGGATCGGGGGGCACCATGCATGACATGAACATGATCGGTGTATTGCGATCGAACTGGCGAGTGATGTGGCGAATGGCGAATAATATCGCTTGTCCGACTGACATCCAAATAGCCTGACGGGAACTGGCGAGTGATGTGATCGGACCGGAGCTGAGCTGAGGCCTGTGCCCTGTTTAGTTCCCTCCAAAACGTTAAAATTTTCAAGATTCTCTATTACATCAAATCTTTAGACGTATGCATGAAGCATTAAATATAAATAAAAAATAAAATTAATTACACAGTTTAGACGAAATCCATGAGACGAATCTTTTAAGCCTAATTAGACTATGATTAAATACTAATTGCTAAATAACAACGAAAACGCTACGGTGCTTATTTTACCAAAATTTTCGGAACTAAACCGGCCCCTGATGGGAAAGTTGGCCATGTACGTGAGGAGATGGTCGAGCCTGTCGTTTACCATTAGAATGTCAGCATGGAAATGGAGCGCTGATTTTCTCGGCAACGGCTTAGTGCTGAATTCGTGTCCGTGGTTTTCGTTGCCAATTGTTGCGGTGGTCAACAACGAGAGAAATGGAGATGATTAACATTTTGCATGCTTTTTCATGAGGGCCCGTTTGAATGCTTGAATTGAATTTATTTTAATAATCATAATTTAGACACATATTAATTAAGCTAATATAGTTGTATATGAATTATATTTGTATATTATTGTTGGCTATACGAGAGAGATCATATGTGTTGCATTTCGATCATAAGGGAGGAGCACGATGAAGAGCGTGTTATAAATTACAAAGTTGAAACATAGCATAGTGATATGTAGAATCAATTTTCATCTATCACCCTATAAATTTAAGATAGACATATATGATAACTTTGGAAAGTGAAATGTTAAATTCTAAACCAAATAGCCTAGTTTATTAAATAGATTTCAATTCCTCCAAATGAAAGTACCCAAAACAGCCTCTGATATTCATTGAATATACTCATACCTCAGTCGACGCTACTATCAGTAATCACTGTATAAACTTATCTGAAAACTGAAGATACAAGTCTATGTCTGTCTGTAAACTAAGGGCCCGTTTGGTTCCTCAGACGCTCCTAAAATTCATCTCACATCGAATGTTTGATACATGTATGGAGTATTAAATATAGACTAATTACGAAACTAATTGCACAACTTGCGACTAATTTACGTGACGAATCTTTTAAGCCTAACTAGTTCATGATTTGACAACATTGTGCTGCAGTAACATGTGCTAATGACAGATTAATTAGGCTTAAAAAATCGTCTTGCAAATTAGCCTCCATCTATGTAATTAGTTTTGTAATTAATCTATATTTAATGCTCTTATTAATATCTAAACATTCGATGTGACATAAATTTTAGGAGCGACTAAAGAACCAACCACCCCCTAAATTAAACTTCCTAAAATCCCTGGCAAGAGCGACGACAGTCTTCTTTATGGACAGCAGAACAGTTATCATGGTAGTTATTTTTACCATATTCATTCTTGCTTAGAAGTTTGCTAACTGATGTTTAAAACTTTCCACCACGTGGTCTAAAAAATCACCATTTAATCAATAATGTTACCATATTAATTATTATTATACCTTTTCTAATGCTTGGTATCACTGTAATTAGGGGAAAAGTAGTGTTCGAATGATTGCTATGTTTTTTTATAAATAGCAAAGCTTTATTCAAACACAATTATTGATCTTACATGGGAGGAAATCACCCCAAGGGAGAAGTTTTGCAGTGCCACAAGTACCGAGCATTGTACATCATGGAGCATGTGTTTACAAGTGTAAACTGGAGCGATTTTATCAGCCTGTTTCCAAGCATTCCTAGAAAGAGAATGAGCGATTTTGTTTCTCTGTTTTGTTTTTTCACACCTCAAGTTGGGTTCTGCTGCCACTGCCCTTGAAGAAGTCTGCTAGAATGGGCCGAAGATTCCATTGGCCTGGAGTGGTGATAATATAATCTCGATCTCTTTTATGCAATGTTGACACAAATGCCTGTCATCATGGAAGCTAATTGGAAGGCCTTCGCTTCAACCATCAGAGGGTTCTGTGGTCTGTGCACCAAACCAATGTTAAAAGGTGCAAGTAAGTAAAAGATACCAGTAGTAGCTTTACATTTTTTAAACTTGTGCATGACCAAATAAAACTGGCTACACTTTGCACCACAATCTTCTAGCACCTTGAGCAAGCGGGCCTTCTTGTTCAAATCTAGGCCAGCTAACTTGTGGCAAAATATTTGGTCATGCACTTGGACAAAAATATATGTGGCAAAGCGTAGCAGCCATCCACGCACGTACGCTTGCTAATCTACGGCTCTACGCAACCGGCACTGTATACCAGCAATTTAATTACAGTATGGAGTTGTAACTGAAATTGACCTGCAACTCCACAAGTAAGAACTTAACTGAACTGTGGCAAAAAAAAAAAAAAAACTTCAGTCCCATTTCCTTGCTTCTCTCATTTTTTCCACACTCAGCCACACGCTCACAGCAGCAGCCCAGCAGCGCAGTTAAATTCCATGGATATTTTGGCGATGTCGACATGACTCCAGAGCTCTAGCAACAGGTAGCAGTAACCAGACGTGCCCACCGCCACGCCTAAAAAAAAACTGGACCTGGTATGACCAACTAGGTATTGCATTAAGAAGAAAGACATTCTTACGCAGGTCCAGAAAACCTCCGAATCTCTACCTCACCTATAGCCCCACCCTTACACAGCGGCACCGTCGCCTTATAAGAATGAGCCGGTTCTTAGACCTGTGCTTTGGCGTGGGACAGACAAGGGGATTTTTTTAACCCCAGTCTAAAATTTGCTCTCACGGAAAGTCAAATCCAGGACCTGATAAATACCGCCGGAACCCTCTAACCCGTTAACCCGTTAGACCAGAGGCCTTTGGCCCCATCGCCACGCCTAGCAAGCGACAACCCATCGGGACTGAGTCCTGCATGTGCAGTGCAGAGGAGGGGCACCGAGCACCTGCTCTCAATTCATCGGTAAGCCGTTGCGTCAAGAACGGCGGCCGGCCTGATTTTTTTTGGTGTCGTCATGTGAGATGTTCAGAGGTCGACCGCTCGTTCCTGTCGATCTGCTGCTCCATCGTCTCCGTCGTACAACGAAACTTGACATCGGCCCATGACTGGTCGGACGAGCGGCAAGCACCGACGTTCGCCGGACAGTTTGAATTCAGCACGGATTTGATGGACAGAGGTGGGGTTCAGTGGTTCATCAGGATTCAGGGCATATGTTCTTGTTCGTGTGGCTGCTTGTAAAGCAACGACAAAATTGAGCACAAATCGATCAGTGTCATATCAGATGTAAAGCAACGACGTTCGTTCAGCGTAACAACCGATCTTCTGCTGATATGAACTGTAGGTACGTTGAAGGACTGCATGCTGACAAGTAGCTTTCAGCTGCTCGCACTGACGGACAGTTGGTGGTGGTCGTCTAGAGATCACCGTAGAGTATTCCATTGAACTGGCCATACGTGCTACACTGTATATAACATGTAAGCATCTAGTCCCTCAAGGTGATAACAACCGTGTTATCGTGACTAACATTTATTTTGAGTGAGAATAATTTAGAGTTAGGTCACGATGATACATAAGACTGTCTCCAATAAGGAGACCTAAACCCAAATATAGGTGCTGCACAGTTCTTTTGCCTATTAAAATCAGTCTCCAACGGACAACCCAAACACCGTACCCATTTTGCCTACCGGCGCAAAGGATACGCAAAAAAGCATCGCGATTCCTCGCTACGCAAATCTCTTTGTCCTCGCTCGCTCCCGCCCTCTCCGTCCTCGCCCGCTCCGCGCGCCCACGCCGGCCAAGGCCGAGCTCGCCCACGGCGGCCGGGGCGGAGCTCCCCCGCGCCCTCGGCGGCCGACCAGGGCCGAGCTTGCCGCTGCAGCAACAAGCGCCAACGGCTGAGCTCCCAGCGCCCGCCCGGCGGCGCCAGCGGGCCGAGCTTCGCCCAGCCCAGCGCCCGCCCGTTCCGGTGCTCTGCGGCTTCCTTGGTTTCATCTTCGCGAGCTCCGGCGGCTTCATCTTCTTTTTGCGTTCGCTGTTGGAGTTCGGGATTTTTTGGGTGCGGCTTTCTTTTCATGTGCGTGACCCGTACGGTGAAAATTGGGTTGGCTTTGTTGGAGATAGTCTAATACCATGTACAGCACAAAAATGCTTGAATAGGCGCTTACAAAAAGAAGCTTATACAAGCGTCGTAACCTACAACGGAATAAATTTACTTTCGGTGCTAATCTACGCTGTAACCGTTGATTTTCAGACTTGATTGAGGAGAGGCGCCGAGCGCTTAACTTGGCAGCGGGCGCAAACTTGAGCGCCCTGTAAGCCTCATCCACCGTGGCACCAAGAAGCTAAAACTGTATGCAAGCGCCGGTCCAAGCGCCCGCGC